TCCACCTGAAGGTAAATATCATCAACGTGATATAAATTTAACATAATTTACATTTTACTAAAAAATTTTAAACTTAAAAGCAACAGTTTCTACAGTTTTTGTTACAATATATTTACTGCCTAATAGTTCAAATACTCTGATTATTACTTAAACAATACATTCCTAGATTTTGTTAAATCTTAGACTTTTCGTTTGATCTTATTGGTCAACCGTACATTTGAACAACTAAAATATTATGTCGAAACCGTCGACAACATGGGAGCATTGAGTGCTCTCTTAGCTAACGAGTCAGCCAACATGTTGGCCTCTCGAGGTACAAAAGAAAAACTTAGCGATCGAAAATTCGATGCTAAAAGCCTAATCTCGAAGAGAAGGTTATGGATCTCCGTATGCATCGCATTTTTGGATAGGAGGTTAATTAAAACCTATGAATCGGAACATACGTGGAGTTCTTGGAAACCTTTCTCTCGAGCCTTCTAAAGGGCTTTAATCACGGCCCATGTTTCCGCTACTAAACTCGATGAAACGCTTAACATAGATAAGAAAAATTCCTCTCTATCGTTACCCGTATCTTCATCAAAATGCCATCCAAAGCCGCAATGCTCTGCTTCCCGCTTCCATGCTGCATCCGTATAGCATAGGATGCCTCTCGGTCTTGTAATAGCTGGTTCTTGTGTTGCTCGTCTAGGTCTTTTGGGAAGAGAAACTTGTGCTTCCTGCCAAGCCTTGGCTTCTCGAATCGCTTTACTCACGATCTCTCTTGTGGAAAATGTTTTTTGCTAAAAAATCAGTTGGTTTCGGGCACACCAGATATTCCAGCCAATCCAAGAATGGAGTGATGTATTAACCAAACCCACCGGTGGGAGAACCGGAGCTTTCACCGTTTCACTTAAGAAATCTAAGGATGTGAGTATAGAGCTCCAATTTATACTTGGCAAAGGCCCCAAAGCCCACACTTCTTGTGCCCATGGGCAGTGAAAGAGTACATGTTCCACCGTTTCCGTAGCTCCACATTTGATGCACGAGATTGTATTCCCCATTCCTCTTCTATGTAGTTGCTCACCCACCGGTAAAGCATTGACCGCCGCTTTCCAAAGAAAGGTTTTAATCTTTGGTTGGGTCTTAATTTTCCATAGCTTTGTTTGCCAATTGAAAGCTAGTTCCTTCGGGCTGGCCGTATCTCTAGCACTCGTACCATACCCACTTCGGGTTGTATGCTCACCATTCTTTGTAAGGAGCCAAGCAAGCGAGTCATTATGAGCGGAAAATCCCAGCATAAGTCGCCGTATATGAGATTCATACATAGGAAGATATAGACGTATAAGATCCCATCTCCAAGTATGTGTTTGATGGTCTATAAGATCCGAGACACGGAGATCAGCACCTTGCCTCGGTCTAGGTCCATAAGGCACCACGGGTTCCGACAAAGACAACCAAGGGTCATCCCACACCCTTATTGACCCACCATTGCCTATTAACCAACCCAGTCCTTTTAAAAGGATCCTTCTTCCGGCTATTATTCCTCGCCATCCGTGAGAAGCACTAGTAGGAGGAGTGCATTGCAAGAAAGAGGACTTATGA